AAACTGTGGCCGTGGGAAGCAGAGGAACAAACGAACAAAAGCCCCAGGATTCCACCAGCGCGGTAGCCCAGACTGGGAAGCAGCTCCACAATCGAATGGAGCTCTGCAGCCCCTCAGGAAGAAACAAAGATGGCGCACGGAGCCAGGCACTCGAGCGAAAGGAGGGGGAGGCGGCGAGAGGCAAGCAAGAAATCCAAAGAAGCAGAAAAAAAAAAAGAAAAGCAACACCAGCAGCCAACAAATGGCACTCAGAGAGCCAGCTAGTGCAGGCTGGTGTTTCTGGACAAGAGACTGTGTCCGCCGGAAGCAGAGGAGGCCGAGTGTGGGTGAAGAGCCGCCCGCCTGGGTGTGTGGAATCCAAGCAGCTGGCGCTTCCCGGTCAAGAGACTGTGGCTGTGGGAAGCAGAGGAGGCCGAGCCGGGGCAAAGAGGGGTAGGGGGTGGGAAAGCGCACACCGCAAATTACCGGTTGTTTAGTCTCCTGCTTGACGCTCTGTGAGGCTGCTTTCTCATACCCTCGTTTGCTGGTCTCTGATAGGAGTACAAGATGGTGGATCTGCACTGCATTAGCTGGTAGGGGACCTCTGTATGAATTTCTCCTCGCTCTCCGTTCTCTGTCAGTTTTCTCAGTCCACTTGGTGCTTGGCTGAGTTCTTTATCTCTTCATTTGATGTTTTAGGGTTTCGGGATTGTTGTATTCTCTGTTTGGCTTAGTTTTTCAGATCTTTGCTGTGGAGGGACAGCATGGTGCTTCTGCCTAGAGGGCCATTTTGCCGGAACTCTCCAACAATTTCAGTTTTTGAGCTCACTTCAAGAATACTTGCCCATACACACAAATAAAAATGTCTATTGTAGCAAAATTTCAATGCTGAAAATTGGAAACAGATGATGTATCCATTGTTAGTGGCATACGTAAATAAATTATGGTTCATGAATAACAAAAAAATGTGTAGTTTTAAAGAAAAATGAGGTAGAACTATATATGCTGATGAAGAAAGATATCCCTAATATACTAAGTAAAAAATGCAAGCATACAAATAGCATGATTCCATTTTTACAAAATAAACTCAACTTCACATGTGATGTGTGTGTGTGTGTGTGTGTGTGTGTGTATGTAATTCTGAAGAGTTACATACCATGTGTCAAGTGTGCTGTAGGACTGAGGAGGGGGTAAGCAGGGACTTTAATTGTGTGTGTGTGTGTGTGTGTGTGTTTTAGGTGAAAGTTTACAGCACAAATTAGTTTCTCATTCAAAAATTTATACACAAATTATTTTGTGACATTGTTTGCAATCCACACAATGTGTCAGCACTCTTCCCCCTTCCCTGTATACCCCAGGTTCCCCTTGTCCATTCCTCAAGGCTTCCTGACCCTTCCTGCCTTCTAGTTGTTGCTTTTGGGCAGGTGTTGCCCATTAGGTCTCCTATACTTGATTGAACTAAGAAGAATGTTCCTCAAATGTATTGTTGTTTGTTCTATAGGCCTGTCTAATCTTTGGCAGAAAGACGGACTTTGAGAGTGGCTTCAGTTCTGAGTTAGCAGTTGTCCGGGGTCCATAGTTTCAGGGGTCCCTCCAGTCTGTCAGACGAGTAAGTCTTGTCATTTTTTTGTAAGTTTGAATTTTGTTCTACATTTTTCTTCCGCTCTGTCCAGGACCGTCTACTGTAATCCCTAACAGAGCTGTCAGTGATGGTAGTCAGGCACCATTTGTTTCTTCTGGGCTCAGGCTGGTGGAGGCTGTGGTTTGTGTGGTCCATTAGTCCTTTGGACTGATATTTAACCTGAGTCTTTGGTTTTCTTCATTCTCCTTTGCTGCCACATGATGGGACCAATACATATATCCTAGATGGCTGCTTGCAAGCTTTTAAGACCCCAAACACTACTCACCAAAGTAGGATGTAGAACATTTTCTTTATAAACAATGTTATGCCAATTGACCTAGATGTCCCCCAAGACCATGGTCCACAGCTCTCAGTCCCTCAAGGTGTTTGGATGTGACTGGGAAGCTTCTATGGCTTTGCCTTGGTCAGGTTGTGCTGACCTTCCCTATATTGTGTGTTGTCTTTCCTTTCACCAAAGTTAACACTGATTTACTATCTAGTTAGTAATCTCCCCTCCCCACTCCTCCTCTCCCTCGTAACCATCAAAGAATGTTTTTTTCTGTGTGTAAACCTTTTCTTGAGTTTTTATAATAGTGATCTCATACAATATTTGTCCCTTTGTGATTGACTTATTTCACTCAGCATGATGCCCTCCAGATTCATCCATGTTGTGAGATGTTTCAGAGATTCATCATTGTTGTTTATCATTGTGTAGTATTCCATTGTGTATATGTACGGTAATGTGTTTAGCCATTCATCTGTTGATGAACACTTACGTTGCTTCCATCTTTTTGCTATTGTGAATAATGCTGCAATGAACATGGGTGTGCGTATGTCTACTCGTGTGGGGGCTTTTATTTCTCTAGGACATATTGCTAGGAGTGGGATTGCTGCATCATATGGTATTTCTATTTCTAGCTTTTTAAGGAAGCGCCATATCATTTTCCATAGTGGTTGTACCATTTTACATTCCCACCAGTAGTGCATAAGAGTTCTAATCTCCCCACAACCTCTCCAATATTTGTTATTTTCTATTTTGTACTTTTTTAATTAGTGCCAGCATTGTCAGGGTGAGGCGGTATCTCATTATAGTTTTGATTTGCATTTCTCTAATGGCTAATGATCACGAGCATTTCCTCATGTGTCTGTTAGCTGCCTGAATGTCTTCTTTGGGGAAGTGTCTGTTCATATCCTTTGCCCATTTTTAAACTGAATTATTATTATTTTTTTAATTGAGGTGTCAAAGTAGTTTATAGATTTTAGAGATTAGACCCTTGTCAAATATGTCATAGCCAAAATTTTTTCCCAGTTGGTAGGTTCTGTTTCTACTCTTTTGGTGAAGCCTTTGGATGAGCCTAAGTGTTTAATTTTCAGGAACTTCCGGTTATCTACTTTATCTTTAATATTTGTGCATCCTTAGTGGGATTTTAATTTTTTTCATCTGTATACTTCTATGTATTTGAATTTTACATCAAGCACGTCATTTTTTTGTGAATAACAAAAGGAATAAAAGAAGCCTTATTCCACTTTTTAGGGTTAACTTTGTTATCTAGAGTCCAGGAGGAACACTTTGGTGAGTAAGGTCAATATGCCATGAAAAATAGTGTCTTTATTTCCAGATAAAGGATAAAGACATATCTGGCAGTGGGGGACATATTTGGCGGGCTGTCAGGGCCTTATCTGCCTACCTCTCAAATCATATTGACTAAATAGGCCGTCTTACTGCCAACATATTAGTTTGCCTTATATGATTCATGAAAGATAGCAGAGTACAGGGAATTAATACAGCTAAAATGTATACTTACTGTTATTGCTGCCAGTGTATTAAATATGGCCAACAGTTGTATGAAGTGTTAGAAGTGTTCCTTAGCTGGTTCTGTTTGCCCTCCTCCATGGCCAGACCCACTACAAAACCCGTCATTGTGGCCATGCTCTTCTGATGAACAGCTAGCCACTCCTTCCAACACTCCAAAAAATGTGCCACAAGAGCCTTCCAGTCTTGAGGAAAGCCTATAATTGTAATGAAGTAGCAGAGATCAATAGTTCAAGAAATGGTGGAGGGTACCTTGCTATGTTGTCTCAAAAACTCCTTTCAAAAACTCACTGATATGCACAACTTGAGTTCCTTCCCCATTCTGTGATTCTACAGAACTGTCTTTGCTCAGTCCCTTTTGAACAGGAAACAGACCTCATGGGCACTTCTCTAGGCAGAGCTATTCTGATGTGACATCCTTGGCTGTTTCTTGTCCTATGTCTTGTCAGTGGGGAAAGCAACAGGAGCTTGGGCTACCTGCAGGGCAAGTTCACTCTGTCTCGCCACATAGACAGCAAGATGTGCACTTTATATATGAGATCCTTGCAATGTGTTTGTGAGGTGAATTAAGCAGAAATTATTGCTCCCATGTAGAAGTAGAAGGAACAAAAATTCATTAAAAAAGTTAATGTGAGTGGAATGGTCAACCATGAGCTCTATCTATCTATCTATCTATTTATATGTATGTACGTATATGTATATATGTATGTAAATACCAATATCTAAATTACATATTGCAATTAAATAAAGGCTCGGCCGGAAAACCATTATTACTGTACATTTTTCAAATATTCAGCAAGTATGAAGTTCAACAATAACACGAGACTTTGTTTCTTGTTAGTCCTAGGGTTCATATATTGATTTTAATGTCTCTTTTTTTTCGCAGAAAACGTTAAGACATGTGGCTTTGTAGTATATCAAAACAGCAAGTTTTTCCAATCAAAAACTTTTACAGCTAAATCAAATTTTAGTCAAAAAATTATCTCAAGCAAAATTAATGGAACTGAGAAAGATCAGAGTATTTCTGTTGAAATGGTCTTTAATCCACAGGTGAGTTTTCCATTAACATAAATAAAAAATTCAGGTTACAAAAGCAGGAGTAGTTTAGGTAAAGGAAATCCAAGATAAACTCTTAGGATTCATTGAAATTATGTATTGTAACGTCCATATCTTTTGTCAAAGTAGCTGAAAACAAAATTAACTAATTTGAATTATATATCCTATTTCCCCCTCCCTAATCTATGATGGGAGCCCTGATGGCGCAGTGGTTAAAAGCTTGGCTGCTAACCAAAAGACTGGCCATTCAAATGCACCAGCCATTCCTTGGAAACCCTATGGGGCAGTTCTGCTCTGTCCTATAGGGTCTCTATGAGTCAGAATTGACTCGACAGCAATGAGTTATGGAGTTAGTTAATCTATAATGAGGAACCCTGGAGCGCAATGATTAAGAGCTAAGCTGCTAACCAACAAGTTGACAGTTTGAATCCACCAGCCATTGCTTGGAAACCCTATGGGGCAATTCTACTCTGTCCTATAGGGTCACTATAACTTGGAATTGACTCTACGGCAATGGGTTTGTTTTTTTTGGTTTTGGTTAATTTATGTTGAGGGTGCTTGTCTTAGTCATCTAGTGCTGCTCTAACAGAAATACCACAAGTGGATGGCTTTAACAAAGAGAAGTTTATTCTCTCACAGTCTAGTAGACTACAAGTCCAAATTCAGGGCATCAGCTCCAGCAGAAGGCTTTCTTTCTCTGTCGGCTCTGGAAGAAGGTCCTTGTAATGCATCAGTTTTCTCTTGGTCTGGGAGCATCTCAGCACAGGAACCTCAGGTCTAAATGACGTGTTCTGCTCCCAGCACTGCTTTCTTGGTGGTATGAGGTTCCCATGTGTCTCTGCTTGCTTCTGTCTTTTATATCTCAAACGAGATTGGATTAAGACACAATCCAATCTTGTATACCTCATCAGTATGACCTCATCATAGTGACAGAGTTTACAACACATAAGGAGATCACATATAACCTCATCATAGTGATAGAGTTTACAACACATAAGGAAATCACATCAGATTAAACAATCATACGATACTGGGAGTCATGACCTAGCCAAGTTGACAGATCTTTTTGGGGGACACAATTCAAACTATAACAGTGCTAATGCTTAGTAAATATTTAATTGATTTTTTATATGCTTATCCTATTTAATTTTTCTTTACCCAGTTAAGCATTATAAGAATCAGTAATTACAATTGTCTTATCAATTCACAGTTCAATCAAACTGAATTCAAACTCAATTCCTATGCCTGTGTCTTTTGGAACCTTTCAAGGAATGATTGGGACACACGTGGCTGTCTAAAGAACCAGTCCCTTGATGGGTTCCTGTACTGCAGGTGCAACCACACGACTAATTTTGCTGTATTAATGGTAAGAATGGATACAGTAATTTCCACCTGGATGAGAATTTTCCTTATACACAATTCCCATATGTACTAATAGGAGGTAACTTTGGGGTTTAATTTACATAGATATGCAACTTTTGGGATTAAATATAAAAACAGAGAATCAAGTAATAGGGGAACTAAGTGGAAATAATAGGAAAAGCAAGTAGAATAGAGTTTTTTGCAATACAGTCTTAAGAGAGATGAGCTCGGCACTGTTGTGTCTAATAAAGAGAAGGGAGCTAATGTGAGAAATAGGAGCCGACAGAGCCCATTTGACTAACTTGCGTGTTCTGAAGCATAAAGTTGTTATAGCCAGAGTTAAGGCTGGCTGTATGCTGGGGACAGTTCAGTACATACTTAGCTTTGTGTGAACAGTTTAAATCAGTTACCCGAAGTTTTTTCCATCAGAACTGCCCAATTTATTAAGTCTATGCTACAAGATATAAGAGGAAAAGCTCTTGAAGTCATTGTCTGTCCCATAGTTCCTCTATGTATTCACAGACTAAGTTCCTTAATTCTTTAAGTCCAAAGTTAGACTGTGCAAGCAACTGATAATGCAACAAGAACTGATGCTTTGCTCTGACATGCAGCCATAGAGCTGTATCTGCATCTCTGGAAGTTCTTGGCTTGGTTTTTTTAAAGAGGGGCATCTGTATTTTCCATTTCCAGAGAACTATTATTCTAGTAAAACCAAAAATGTTAGTTTATATGCTTGATGGAATTTTTCCCTAGGCAACAGGATGGGGAGAGATATAGAGTGTTTTCTCCTAATAAAGAAAGGGGCTATTGATGCTACGGGGTCACCGGGAGCTGGAGTCAACTTGATGGCGACAGATTATTGATACTACGAATTTCCCAAAGAGAAACAGATGTTCTCACTTCTGGGGACTATGATGTAGCTGTATTGGGGAAACTGATGGAGATTAGTAGAACATATTGGTACAGCATAGATTATCATAGTATAAAACCCTTCCTTTAAAATTTTTTTGAGATTACTGTAGTTTATTTTAATTATTCAAACACTTTCTTATGTTAATTGATTTTGACTATTTTTTTTTCTAACTTGTACCACACAGAGATCTGCTTTCTCAAACAGAAGATACTAAAGATAAAATTTTAACTTATTTTTGATATCTTGAAGTCATCAGAACTATTGATTAGCTGTGTAAATCTCAGATTGCCATACACGTTGAATGACTCAGATTACTACTTTGTCATAGTTCTCTTTCTCTTTATTTGAGGTCAGTCTGTGAGGTGTTACTTTTTACTAATTTCTGCGTCTGACTCTGGAAATGGTTATCTATGCACATTATCTAATTAGCTTTGGGTTGTGAAATTCAAGAAAGACTGATTAGGATTATATGTAAAGTAAGAGTAGATAGATTGAGTAAACAGATGATTTCTAAGATCCAAAGATTTATGTATTCTATGATTCTTTGTGCATCTACTTAACCAGTAAGTATACTGCATACAGGAAATACCATGAAATTTTTGTTTTATTATTTTAGAAAAGAAGTATATTTTATATATTTTTTTTCTACAAAGATAAACACTCATTATATAAAATATGAACGTTTGCCTGCTAGACAGAAATATGCTGTTATGGAAAAATGTTTCTGATATCTTAAAAGAAAATAACAATTCAAATATAATTCCATTATGTTATCAAATCCTTATGTATTCATGCAAGAAGCATAGATAATATTTGTAAGCACATACAAAAAGGGCTGGAACTCTTAACAGTGGTTATCTCTGGGAAAGAGATGATTTCAAGAGATAGGGTATAAAGTAGGGCATTTTCTTGTTGTTATGTTTCTGTATGAATTTCCTGGTTTACAAATAAGCATGTGTTGCTTTTCGAATTGTAATAATTTTAAAAAATCAGAAAGCTCAGACAAGCAAAAAGAATTACATATATGCTACCCTCCATTGACCATGATCACTGCCTTTTCAGATTATTTTCTAAGAGTATGTACTCTTAGAATATTCTTTTCTATCATATATACCAGCATAGTGGGATAGATATAGCTATATTACACAAAAAATGCACCTCTTATTTTAAATTAACAAGATATTATGAAAATCTTTCCATGCCCATGAATATATTTCTGCAACTTTATTTTTGGTACATCAGTTTAGATATGCAGATTGCCCCTTGGATTATAGTTATACATAAAGATAATGTAATAGATAAATGAAACAATTCTAGCAATTTAGGCTAAACCAAATAACTTGGATTTTAGGCATTGAGGAGAAGTCCATATATTTTTCCCTAATTGAATTAGTTAGATAATCATCTCTCCCCACTAAATTCCTTCCGTTGTTTACTGTCTATTTCCCCATATTAAGCCTCTACTTCATGTAAACTGCTTAGAGATCAGGGATTAAGATAGTAAAAATATAAATACATATTTTTATCTCTTCTTTTTATAAAACTATTGATTAATTTATAAAACTGATAAAATACATTTTATCAACATATCAACAGTTTTATAAAAAGAAGAGCTACCTGGCAACTTTCTGCTAATTCTTCATGGGGAGTCCCTGGGTGGTGCAACGGTTAATGCACTAGGCTGCTACCTGAAAGGTTGGAGGTTCGTGTCCACTCAGAGGTACCTTGGAAGAAAGTCCTGGTGGTCTACTTCTGAAAAATTTAGCTATTGAAAACCCCCTATGGATTACAGTTCTACTCTCAAACATATGGGGTTGCCTTACTGGCAGCTGGTTTGGTTTTTTGGTAACTCTTCATGACATTAACTTTCATTGACATTTCAGGAATGGTTATTTAAAAATATAAATCTTAACTTCTTTTTCAGAGTTTCATAAAGAACTATAACTATCCTAAATCACTAGATATAATATCCAACGTCGGATGTGCACTGTCCATCATTGGTTTGGCCCTCACGATTATATTCCAGGTTGCCACCAGGTAAGAGAGGAAGCAAGTTCTTCTTGAGAGAAATTGCTATCCTGGTCTACTTTACTATGAGCATATTCTCATCAGAATACAGTCTTTCAGAACTAGAAGCAACAGAGATTTAGTTCAACGTGTTCATTTTACAGAGGAGAAAACCCATGCTATAGAAGTTAAGAAATTTGCTTAAGGTCTCACAATTCTTTAATGTTGAATAGAACCATGCCTACCAATGTGCATTTCTAAAAGAAAAAAAGTTGCTGAACAGTGACTTTTTCAAAATAAAAAATTAATTTCTAAAAATATGCAAAGTTATCAAGCAAAGACATGTACTGAAGTTCCACTTTTGTTTATCAATTTTTTTCCACATGCTACATTTTTAGCAATCCTCAATCTCTTAAAATCTTGTTCATTTATTAGTTTAGTTGTTTACTGTTTCCCCCCAGCATGAAAATTCATGAAGACAAGGACTTCCTCTGATTTTGTTGTTTCAGTTGTTATTTGTTTTGTTTTGTTTTCATCACTGTATCCCCAGGGTTGAGCCCAGTACCTTACCCATAGTAAAGGACTACATGTAGAAAAAATGGTTATTATGCATTTCTGCCTTATTCCCCCCTCAAACTGAAGGTGTCTCAAGAACACATATTTCCTTCAGAATCATCTCTCTCCACTAAATTCCTTCAGAACTATTTTCTCAGATGTGTAGAGTCAGAATTTATTTATTTGTAGAAGTATTACTTTGTTTTTATTTTGAAAAATTAAAAACCTACAGAAAAATTGAAGAGCACACTGAACACCATCATATCCTTCACCCAGATTCACCAATTATTAATATTTTGCCACTTTTGCTTTATCTCTCTTTTTTTCCTGAAACTTTGAAAGTGTGTTGCAGACATCATGACTGTTAACTCTAAAACGTCAAGCTTGTGTTTCCTAAGAACAAGGCCATTCTCCCACATAGTATAATACTGTTATCCCTGCTCAGGAAATTTAACTCAAGAAATTTAACATTAATACAAAATATTATCATGTTAATATACCATCCATATTCAATTTCTCCAGTTGTGCCAGTAATATCCTTTATAGCTGGGTTTGGTTTTTGTTTTTAATTTATTTAGTTGCCCTGTCTGTTTAGTCTCCTCTAATCTGTTGCCATCGAGTCGATTTTGACTCATAGCAACCCTATAGGACAGAGTAGAACTGCCTCATAGGGTTTCCAAGGAGCGGTTGGTGGATTTGAACTGCTGACCTTTTGGTTAGCAGCCATGCTCTTAACCACTGCCCTACAGGGCTCTCTGTCTCCTCTAACCCATTGCCATGGAGTTGATTCCGACTCACAGTCTCCTCTAGTCTAGGATAATTCCTCTACGTCTTTTTTGTTTGTTTTGGTCTTTCATGATGTTGATATTTTTGAAGGGTCCAGGCCTGTATTTTGTAGAATGGATGCTCACCTAGGAAGCTGGAACAGCTGGGTCTTTCTCCTTTTCATTCAGCCCCAGACCCTCCTCATGTGGTTTCTTCAGCAGGACAGCTGGACTGCTTACACGGTGGCTCAGAACTCCCCAGAACACTAAAGGGGAAGCTTCTACTTGGGCTATGTGATGACTTTCATGGGTCCTGGGCACTTTTGCCTTTTTGGGACCCTTCTTCCATTTAAAAAAAAAAGATGAAAAATTATGTTTTATGACTGCTTTGATATAAAGATGAATATGTGTTGTTAGGTGCTGTCGAGTTGGTTCTGACTCATAGCAATTGTTATGGATTGAATTGTGTCCCCCAAAAATGTATGTCAACTTGGCTAGGCCATAATTCCCAGTATTGTGTGACTGTCCACCATCTCGTCATCTGATGTGATTTTCCTATGTATTATAAATCCTACCTCTATGATGTTAATAAGGTAGGATTAGAGGAAGTTATGTTAATGAGGCAGGACTCAATCTACAAGATTAGGTTGTGTCTTAAGCCAATCTCTTTTGAGACACAAAAGAGAGAAGCGAGCAGAGAGTTGAGGGACCTCATACCATGAAGAAAGTAGAGCCTGGAGCACGCATCCTTTGGACCCAGAGTGCCTGTGCTGAGAAGCTCCTTGACTGGGGAAGATTGATGACAAGGACCTTCCCCCAGAGCTGACAGAGAGAGAAAGACTTCCCCTGGAGCTGGCACCTGAATTCAGACTTCTAGCCACCTTGACTGTGAGAGAATAAATTTCTCTTTGTTAAAGTCAACCACTTGTGCCATTTCTGTTATAGCAGCACTAGATAACTAAGACAGCGACCCTATGTATAACAGAACTAAACACTGCCAGGTCCTGCGTCCTCCTCATAAACATTGTTATGATTGAGCCCATTGTTGCAGCCACCGTGTCGATCCATCTCGTTGAGGTTCTTCCTCTTTTTCACTGACCCTCTACTTTACCAAGTATGATATCCTTCTCCAGGGACTGGTCCCTCCTGATAACATGTCCAAAGTATGTTAGATGAAGTCTCGCCATCCTTGCTTCTAAGGAGCATTCTGGCTGTACTTCTTCCAAGACAGATTTGTTCTTTCTTCTGGCAATCCATGGCATATTCAGTGTTCTTTTCTGACACTATAATTCAAAGGCATCAATTCTTCTTCAGTCTTCCTTATTCATTGTCCAGTTTTCACATGCATGTGAGGCAATTGAAAATACCTTGGCTTGGGTCAGGCACGCCTTTGTCCTTAAAGCAACATCTTTGTTTTTTTAATACTTTAAGGAGGTCTTTTGCAGCAGATTTGCCCAATGCAATGCATCATTTGATTTCTTGACTGCTGCTTCCATGGGTGTTGATAGTGGATTCTTGGCAACTTCAACCTTTTCTCCGTTTATCATGATGCTGCTTATTGGTCCAAGTGTGAGGATTTTTGTTTTCTTTATGTTGAGGTGCAATCCACACTGAAGGCTGTTGTCTTTGATTATGTGTTAAAATATTTTTGACCTAATAGTTTCCTTTTCTCCTTATAATTTAAACAAAATTAGAACATTTTACGGGCCATTAAAGTATTGTGAATCCTAAGTACTGTGCGCTGTGTCTAATGAATAAGTTGGCTCTGGCTGCCAGGCCTTCTGCCACATTCTATTAGTTACATTAAATCACAGGTGAGCCCCGGGAGGGAACTACACAAGGCATAAACACTGGGAAATAGGGCTCATCAGGAGATCTTTAGATATTGTCTTTGTTGTTGTTAGGTGCCATCGAGTTGGTTCCGACTCATAACGACCCTATAGGACAGAGTAGAACTACCCCTGTAGGGTTTCCAAGGAGAGGCTGGTGAATTTGAACTGCCAACCTCTTTGGAGATTAGCTATCACTTTTAAAAAGAACACAGTTTCTAGAACATATGCATCAACCTGCTTTGTCTAACTCACTTCTTTGTGAAAATGAGGCAAGTGGTAAGAAAAATATACTTTTCTGATATAATTGGAAAGATAGATTTACCAGGTAGCCCACTGGGCTATGAGCTAGATTTACATTGGATAATAAGTATTCCTTTGTTCTTTCACAATTTCACTGGCGTTTATTTTTTGCAGTTGTCTTGTTTTATCTATCTATCATCTGTTTATCTATCTATCATCTGTCTACTTACAGAAAAGTCAGAAAAACCTCAGTAACCTGGGTGTTGGTCAGTCTGTGCACATCGATGTTGATTTTCAACCTGCTCTTTCTGTTTGGAATTGAAAACTCAAATAAGAACTTAAACACAAATGATGAAGGCAGCGAAAATAATGATAATGTTACTAATAATGTGCCCGCAACAGACACCATCCACATCCCGAATCCCACGTGCACTGCAATTGCTGCTTTACTGCACTATTTTCTGCTAGCGACATTTACCTGGAATGTACTCAGTGCTGCCCAGCTCTATTTCCTTCTAATTTGGACCATGAAGCCTCTTCCTCGACATTTCATTGTCTTTATCTCTTTAATTGGATGGGGTAAGTGTTTGCTTCTCCACTTACTCAGGAATTTAATTTTGTTGAAATTATTTAATTTAAACAAGCACCTATTGAAGGCTTACTGGTACAAGACCTTGAGGTGGGGGAGGTAGAAATTACCTGGATCACTAAGAGTGCCTGCTGCCCAGTAGTGTCTATTCCAGTGAGGAAGGCAGCTATGCTACAGATGTTGTAAGATAGCTTAAGGATGTTCGTTTCCTTTAATATCTCTTTTGATTAATTTGGTTTGAGATTTAGAGCACAATATAATTAAATTCTTAGCTACTTTTTAAGAAATATTTCGAGAAAGATAATCAGAGATGTCTTTATGATAAATAAGTTAAAAATTTTATTGAGTGTCAGCAAAGTAAGCTGTTTTAGGAAGATATTTAGTGATTAAATTTATGTGAGTGAAAAAGGAACTTGACTGCTTGAGAACAAAAATTGTAGTAAGACTTAAAAGAAATCAGGAACGGTATAGGATTGGTATGTAGAACAAACACCAAAAGGAAAAAGAAAACACTTAGAGGAAAATTATATCCACTGTTGACCTAAATCTTTAGGATCATTTAGCATATTGTCCATTGTGGAAAGTACAATACATCCTGAAAAGGCTCTGATGTATAATTCATTCATGGTCTTCTATAACAAATCCCAAGACATGGGTAAATTATTCATTCCTTGTTTCTCTTTATCATGTAGGATTCCCGGCTATAGTTGTGGGTATGACCGTGGGAATAATTTATTCTGTGAATGGGGACGATTCACAATGGGAGTTAATCTACCGGCAAGAAGAAATGTGAGTTTATATTTTTTAAAATCTCCATTTCTTGACATAAGAGTGTAACTATTCAGTGATGTTGAAGCCAAGTGTAACTGTATGAATACTTTATCTCATTTTATAATTGTCATATTTAGTCATGGGTATTTCACATTCTCAAAGAGCACATTACCTTTTAAATGTGTTAACATGAAAATGTCCTATGATAAATCCTTTTGTAAAGTGAGTAATTACCTTCTGAAGTTATATATATGAACTTTTAAATATTAAGTTTATCTTCTTTTATTAAGTCTGGAAATCACATAACAGAGTAAGCATGATCCTTGGTAACCCCTTATCTGAGTTATCTCATCATTTCTCAATCGGGATAATGACAATAGTAACACATGCTCTGTGCTCACTGCGAGGGGTCAAATAAGCACGAAACATTTCATAAGCAGAAGAGCACTATCTATATGTCTCACTTGCATGAACCAATTCTATATTGATATGATTGTAATGATTATTTCATGATGATTTATCACACATAAATTCTTCCTGTGACTCCGGTATGAATAATTAACTGTTAATAACAAAAGCACCTGATTGTATGCTGTTTGCTTTTTATGTGGGAGGAAAGTGACGCAAGCCGAGCTGAACTGAGGCTCAACTCTTTCCATGTAGTTCTGCTACCAAATGGCAACCGCTCTTGAACTTCCTCCTTGCTTCTCCTTTTAGACATCCCAACCATTCTTAACCCCAGATTTTACCTGAAGTCCAAAATCAACCCAAAGAAAAACAAAACTCTTGGAAATATGCAAGTTTACCAGGAGAAGTTTGTGGTGTTGGCAGGGTACTTATCTCTTTCCCAGGGCTGATCATGTGGTAGAATGGGGGCTGCTTGCTTGGCTTGATTTCAGGAGCCAGATAGTCCCAGGTACTGCTTTATCTCTGTTAAATTATGGCTAAATATCTTTTAATGTGGTTCTAAATTTTTAATTCCACAAGTAGAGATAAAGGGTAAGATGAAATTGTCCCTTGGGAGAAGTAATACACTTCAGATTGCATTATTATTTTCCTACCTTGAAAAAGGCACAGGGTTAGAGCCACTCCTGTAAAAGCCTTCAGGAGAAAGAAGCTGTGATGGTAAAGGTGAGTGTCAATTTGGCTGGGCCATGATTCTCACTGGTATGACAGTGATGATGTAGTTTGGTGACTATGTAATGATATAATCACCTCCATGATGAGATCTGCTATGAGCAGGCAATCAATTGAAAGGGAGTTTCCTTGGGGCCGTGGCCTGCATCCAATATATGTGGACTTTCTGGAAAAGCTTGCTGGCTTTTGCTCACTCTGGATCCTGCATCTGGTTCATCATCTAACCTCTGGTTCTTGGGATTTGAGTTAGTAGCTTACCTGCCTATCTTGGGTTCATCAGTTCCTGTAGCTATGTGAGTCAGGAGAAGCTTCCAGCCTGACCCACACATGTGGGACTCTACAACCCATATTATTTCTTTGATATAAATCTCTCTATCTATATATACATTGCACTGATTTTGCTTCTCTAAAGAACCTGGCCTAGGACATTTGGTACTGAGAGTAGTTCAAGAGAAACATTTGCGTGCTAAAAAACAACAACAAAAAAAACCCAAATACAAAAACCTATTGCCATCGAATTGATTCTGACTAATAGCGACTCTATAGGACAGAGTAGAACTGCCCCATAGAACTACCCCAAGGAGCAGCTGATGGATTCGAATGGCTGACCTTTTGGTTAGTAGCTATAACTCGCTGTAGCTCTTACCCACTGCACCACCAGGGCCCCATTTGCATGCTAGAGGGTGAGAAATCAATCTGACAAAAAAATTCAGACATTTTCCACCTCAGTGAAATTTCTAGGGGTTCTTTCTAGGGGTTCAGTGGTATGGGCCTTGTCGAGATATTCCTCCTAAAGTGAAGGATAATTTACTGCATCCGGCCCCTCCCAAAACTAAAAAAGAGGCACAATGCCTGGTGTGCCTCTTTGGATTTTGCAGGCAACATATCCCTCGTTTGTGTGTGCTACTCTGGTCTATGTATCAAGTGACTTGAAAAGCTGATATTTTTGAGTGGGGCCGAGACAAAGAGAATGATATACAACAAGTTCAGTCTATTGTTCAAGCCACTCTGCCACTTGGGCCATATGATCTGGCTGATCGAATGGTGCTTGAAATATCAGTGGCAGATAGAGATGGTGTTTGGAGTCTTTGACGGGCCCCTATTGGTGAATCACAGCACAGACCCTTGGAGCAAACCCCTACCATACTCTGCAGATAACTACTCTCATTTTAGAAACAGCTTTTGGCTTGTTACTGGGCCTTGCTTGGTAGAGACTGAACTCTTAACCATGGGTCACCAAGTCACTATGCAGTCTGAGCTGCCCATCATGAACTGGGTGTTGTCTGACCCACAGAGCCATAAAGTCAGACGTGAACAGCAGCACTCCGTCATTAAATAGAAATGATATATACAAGATTGGGCTTGAGCAGGACCTGAAGGCACAAGTAAGTTGCATGAGGAAGTGGCCCAAATGCCCATGTCTCCACTCCTGTCACGTTATCTGCCCTCTCCCAATCTGCACCTATGGCCTCATGGGGAGTTCCTTGTGAACAATTGACTCAGGAAGAGAAAACTCCTCCATGGTTTGCAGATTGTTCTGTGTGATATGCAGGCACCACTTGAAGATAGACATTGGCAGCACTACAGCCCTTTGCTGGGACCTCACCAAAGGACAGTGGTGAAGGGAAATCCTCTGAATGGGCAGAAATTTAAGCAGTACACCTGGTTGTTCACTTTGATTAGAAAGAGAAAGGGCCAGATGTGCAATTTTATACTGATTCGTGGGCTGTGGCCAAAGGTTTGGCTGTATGATCAGGGACTTGGAAGGAACATGATTAGAAATTGGTGACAAGAAGGTATGGGAAAGAAGTATGTGGATAGACCTCTCTGAATGGGCCAAATAAGTGAAGATATTTTTCTCATGTGAATGCTTACCAAAAGGTGACCTCAGCAGACAAGGAGTTTAAGAGGCCAGTGGATAGAATGACGAATTCTGTGGAAACCAGTTATCCTGTTTCCCCACTCACTCCCATTATTGCCCAGTGGGCTCATGAACAAAGTGGCCATGGTAGCAGGGATGGAGGTTATGCATGGGCTCAGCAACATGGACTTCCACTCACCAAGGCCGACTTGGCTACAGCCACTGCTGAGTGCCCAATCTGCCAGCGGCAGAGACCAACACTGAATCTCCAATATGGCACCATTCCTAGAGGTGATCAGCCAGCAACCTAGTGGCAGGTTGATTACATTGGACTGCTTCCATTATGGAAAAGGCAGCGTTTTGTTCTTACTGTAATTGACACTTACTCTGGATACAGACTTGCTTTCCCTGCATGCAGTGCTTCTGCCAAAACTACCATCTGTGGACTTACAGAATGCCCTATCCACCATCATGGTATCCTACACAGCATTGCCTCAGATCAAGGGACTCACTTCACAGCAAATGAATTCCGGCAGTGGGCCCATGCTTATGAAATTCACTGGTCTTACCATGTTCCCCATCATTCTGAAGCAGCTGACTTGATAAAACGATGGAATTGCCTTCAAAAGACCCAATTACAGTGCCAGCTAGGTGGTAATACCTTGCACGGTTGGAGCAGTGTTCTCTAGGAGGCTGTATATGCTCTAAACCAGCATCCAGTATCCGGTGCTATTTCTCCCATAGCCAGGATTCATGGGTCCAGGAATCAAGGGGTGGAAATAAGAGTGGCACCACTCACTATTGCCCCTAGTGACCCACTTGCAAAATTTTTGCTTCCTGTCCCTGCAACCCTATGCTCTGCCTGTCTAGAGGTCTTAGTTCCAAAGGGAACAATGCTCCCACTAGGAGACACAACACAGATTTCATTGAACTGGAAGTTAATAATGTCACCCGGCCACTTTGGGCTTCTCATGCCTCTGGAACAACAGGGAAAGAAGGGAGTTACCGTATTGGCTGGTTTGATTGATCCTGTCTACCAAGGGGAAATTGGATTGATGTTGCATATTGGAAGTAAAGAAGAGTATGTCTGGAATACAGGATATTTTTTAGGACGTTTCTTAGTACTACTATGCCCTGTGAGTAAAGTCAATGGAAAACTACTGCAACTCAATTCCAACATAATTACTAATGGCCAAGGCTCTTCAGTAATGAAGGTTTGAGTCACTCCACCAGGCAAAGAACCATGACCAGCTGAGGTGCTTGCTGAGAGTAAAGGAAATATGGAATGGGTGGTGGAAGAAAGTAGTTCTAAATACCAGCTAAGACCATGTGACCAGTTGTAGAAACAAGGACTGTAATTGTTATATTTCTTCCATATATGTGTGCATTAAATATTTTTGTTTTCTTCTTTTATAAAATACAAAATGTAGATAGGGCTAGTGTGTTTTTGGTTGTAAGCATGTTAGTTGTATCATGTTAGGAACAAGTATGACTTTATGTTGTTGTTAGGTGCAGTAGTTTGGTTCTGAATCATACTGACCCTATGTTTAACAGAAGGAGACACTGCCCGGTCTTGCACCATCCACACAATCATTGCTATGTTTGAGCCTATTGTTGCAGCCACCGTGCCAGTCCATCTCGCTGAGGGTCTTCCTCTTTTTCACTGACCCTCTACTTTACTAAGCATGATGTCCCTCTCTAGGGACTGGTCCCTCCTGATAACACGTCCAAAGTACGTGAGATGAAGTCTTGCCATCCTCGTTTCCAAGGAGCACTCTGGCTGTACTTCTTCCAAGACAGATTTGTTCGTCCGTCTGTTAGTCCATAGTATTTTCAACATTCTTCACCAACACCATAATTCAAAGGCATCAGTTCTTGTTCGGTTATACTTATTCATTGTCCAGCTTTCACATGCATATGAGGCGACCGAAAACACTATGATTTTGGGTCAGGCGCACCTTAGTCCTCAAAGTGACATCTTTGCTTTTCAACACTTTAAAGAGGTCTTTTACAGCAGATT